TTTCATTGGTGAAGTTGATGCACAGCTGCTCAAACGTGTTGAACTGGGAGAAGACAATAGACTTATTAATGACTTCACCATTCTTATTTGCATTAAATTAGAAATATTGTGTGGCCCAAGATGTAAAATTATCTAAATACAGTTTAACCAAACATTTTCTAATGGGAATGCTCACATCAAAGATCTCAAATCCAGCAATGTCCAGCACACCAATGAAATACTGGCGTGGCTGCTTGGTCTCAAGTGACTGGTTGATTCTTATTACCATCCACAAGAACATCTTCTCGTAAACAGCTTTAGACAGAGCTCCAACAGCATAATTCACCTGTGAAATAGGCATAAGCACATTAAAAAGAATACGTCATGTTTCAAATGCAGCTTTTGAACTTCTGTAGATAAAATCTGAATATCATATGGTCATCTAAAATGGTAAGATCAAATCATTGACACCCACACCAGACCTAACAAAAGATGTCCTGATTGATCATCCATATTAGACCTCTTTTTAACAAATATGCTCCATATATTTCCTTGGTTGGATGTTTTTGCAAAATATTTCAGTGACCATTGCATTATTGTTGTTATCAGTGACACTAAACTACCTCGCTCCAAGCCTAGCCTAATTCAGAAAAGAGACATGAAGCATTTCAGTGAACAGGTCTTCCTATGAGACCTGTCTCATTTTGATTGGCACCACATTCTCCTAACTGATCATGTGACTACTGCTTGGAACTATTTTCAGAACTGATGAAGCCTTCCGGATGGAAGGGGAAACATTTCAGCACACAAAAAAAAAACTGTCCAGACGACCTGACTGAAAAATATTGGATTGTATACCTGGATTATTGAGCATGGACTTTGTTGTTTTAAACCAGTTTGACATGACTGTGGACAAGGAGGTGGGGGTGTGCCAAAGAGACCATCTTAGCACCAACATAACTGGTTTGTTCCACTTTGGAGTAAGCTTTTGGGGGGGAAGAATCAGTTTTGTGTTGTGTGTGTCCTTGACTGATGAAGCCTTCCGGATCGAAGGCGAAATGTTTCAGCACAAAAAAAGAAACTGTCCAGATGTATCCTGGAACACCTTGCAAAAAGACTTGAAGCTCTTGACCTTGACCTCTCTAAGTGGCTTCTAACATCTGCTAAGTTCAATGCAAAAACCAACGCAGACATGTTCCTGTTTCTTCTATTTTACACTACTTTACAATGTAGCTGTTTTTATTTCATTTTCTAATATAATTTTCTTCCATTTGTTTTTTAAATTCATATGCTTTCTTTTATAGTTGTCTACTGATGTCATAATTTTTGTTAAAAACAGGTCTCTTGTAAATGAGTCCTCGAGGCTCAATGACTCACCTGACTAAATAAAGGTTGAATGAATGAATGAAAAAGATTAGGATAACTTAAAAGCAATATATTTTCTTCACCTGAGCGACATTTTGTCCCTTGGTGACCCATTCGTTTCCAACTTTGACTCTTGGATGACATAGACCTTTGATTAGGTCAGCAGAGTTCAGGCCCATCAGATAAGCTGATTTGTCAGCATCTGAAGAAAGAAAATAAGCAACGTCAAACTATATGGCCTGATTTTGAGCTTACCTGATGAACAGCGTCCACAATTCACCTTCAGTCCCATCAGCCTCTGCTTGCTCCTCACGTGGCCTCTGCTTAAACTTCATGTTGCCATAATGCATGATAGCACCTGTGAGCTTGTAGACAGAGTTTTTTTCCTCCTGCGTGAAGCCCAGCACATCAAAGGCACTCTGTGGAAAAGTAGCAAGAAAAATTGTAACATTTCTGCAGATTGTATCTCTAAAGTGAATTATCATTTAGCTACAATAACTTTTAAAGCAAGCCATTTTAAGTTAAATGTGATAGTGTCACATAAAGAAAGACAAAAATAGTCTGACATCTGTTGCCATCAGTTCTTCTCCATCGTCTATGGAAGCCACTTGGGTTTCTCCCTGGGAGATGAAGGCATAATCGTATGGATTGTTTGTCACCAGCATCATCTCTGGAGGATGCACAAAAATGCACCAACACAAGGTCAGACAGATAGGCACCAATAGACAGCATTTTGTTTTCAGGTTAAGTTTTACATTTTTCACAATAGTCAATGTAACTAACCCAGGATTTCAGGTTTCTTGTTGGAAAGAATCTGGTAAAAGATGTGGTAATCTCTCTCTGCTCTGAGCTGGAAGATCACACGAGACTTCTCCAGAAGGTCTAACAACAACAGGATAGAAGCTATTTCTTTGAGATAGATGATCACATCCCACATCATGTCTTAAATACAAGAGTGTTTGGTCTTACATGTTTCAATATCAGCAGATGCTAATTTTCCTCTGGTATCAAAGTGAATTCGGATGAATTTACCCTGAAAGCATAAAATTTTCATTCCAAACAATAGTGACTAATTTTTTAATTGGACTGTGTGTTTGTGGACTTGTTCGATAATATCTAACAATTAAGCCACGCAGATGAAGAAAAATCTCACAAATCTGGAAGAGTTGTCATTCCTGATAGTCTTGGCATTACCAAAGGCTTCTAGAGCAGGGTTAGCCTGAATGATTTGATCCTCCAGGGTGCCCTGCAACACAAAAACCTTTTGTTTACTCAAAGAGAATTTAACACCCTTTAATGGTAACCAAGAATGCATTTTAAAGTGTCAAACAAAACAATACATTGACGGTCAATTTTTATGTCATTATTGCTACTGAGAATTTAAATAAACCAAGAATAAAACATGTTTTTCACCTAAAAAAATTTGCACATACCTTGTCTTTCACATTAGCGTCTTTTTTGGCACTTCCAGCTGCAATACTTGCAAAATACTGGATGACTCTCTTTGTGTTGACAGTCTTTCCTGCACCAGATTCTCCACTGTTGTAATAGAGTTACGCATCGATACATAACAGTTTCAGAATAACATTTCCTATTTCAGAACATACTGTAGCGTTAATGCTAAAACGAACAGTTACATACGTGATCAGAATTGACTGGTTTTCACGGTCTGTCAAAGTTTTTAGAGAAAACAGTTTTGTTAGTGAGTATATTACAATGTATTCACAATAGTTCCTATTTTACTGAGCTGTACCTGCCAGCATGTACTGGTAGGCGTTATCAGAGATGGAGAAGATGTGAGGAGGAGCTTCACTCCTCTTCTTTCCTCTGTAGGCAACAACCACCTCTTGGTTGTAGACTGGCAGCGCCTTATAGGGGTTGACAGTCACACAGAACAGCCCGGAGTAGGTCTGCCATGTCAAGAGAGAAGAGTTTTTAATCAAATTGCTCATCAAAGTTGTTGATAACTGCCTAACAGTGTACTCACATAGATCATCCATGCTGCGTAGCGCTCTTTGAGGTTAAACAGCACAGCTGGCTCATGGAGGAACGTCAGCATGGCCATGTCTTCAATTTTATCAAACTTGGGAGGGTTCTGTTGCAGAACATCCGCCTCTTTGACAGTCACAGTCTGGAAGAGGACAAAAATGAACGTAGTGGTTTTATTTAATAGCTTATAGTATGTGCTCTGATCTCATATTATTCACTGAATAAACCAAACACTTTTGCTGCCATTAGCATCATGTAAAGCATGCCTCCATTAGTCAGAGTCAGAGATTCTTTATTGTCATTCGCACCTCATGTGGTACATGTGGTGGAACAATATTATGTACACAGGGTCCCAGTTACATCCAACAATAAAATGTATAAGAAAAACGGTAATAACATCTAAGATATGAACTAAGAAAAACATCAACTAAATACACACTAAGCACTCATAACATAAAAACATTGAACATCAGCACAAACATGAACATGAGTCTGTGAGCGGATGTGCACGCATGAACACATCAACATTGAAAGGAACGCCAGTTGGCAGTGGCACAGCTACTTCCTGTGGCGTATCGAAAAGGACTTTTCTTCAGTCTCCCTCTGGCTTCCTTTCAACATCTATTCATACTCACTTAAGGACAGACATTTTAAATCACACATAGATTAACTTTCTTGTTAATGCTCACTGCCAGACGTAGTACGCACAGACATACAGTAGATTCTCTGAAAAACAACTTTAATTCAGTTCAGCGTAGTTTATTTAGTACTAATTTACAACAAATGCTATCCCAGGGCACCATGCAGCAACATTCACATACATTCTAAAATGCTAATTAGTAAAAGTTATCCATCTAAAGAAGCCAGCAGATTGTGTTGAATCTTCACTTTGTCACAATTTTCCATCCTGAGCAGCACAAACCAGCAGTGGAAAGGAAAAAAAACATTAAAATCTAATCAAAAAACAAAAAATGAAAATCTAATCTAAATAAACAGATTGACTGGCTCCACTAGTAATGGCTGGTAGTAAGTTTATTCCTGCAGCCGAAGTAAAGACACTGTACGTGGTATTAATACTTTTGTAATGAATAATGTGTTGTGTAGGGGAACATCTCACCTTGCCATTTTGTGTCTCCACAGTGACCTTGTCCCCATCCCGGCTCACGATGGTTCCCTTTATGAATTCTTCCACCGAATCAGGAACAAAGCATTCTTTCTTGATATCAAAGGTACGTGTGGAGGCCTCCATACGCTCCTTCTCTGACTTCCTCAGGTACGGCGCTGCCGCACCAAACACGGACATCTCTGCGTCCCCCATGACTGCACTAATGTACATACACAGACACACACATAACTGAACACTGTAGCTGCTGCATACGTTTTCAGTACTTGTAATTTAGACATTTTCTTTAAACAATTTATATATCCTTTATATAGAGTGATGAATATATCAAACATTAATTGTACATGGATTGCTAACTTAAGCTTGTGAAAAATAAAATTTACCAGTGGATTCAGCTCAGATCAAAGTTGAGCTCAGTCTGTGGAGTAAAAACTTCTTAATACACCTGAAGAGAGACAAGAATGTTGTTTATTAAAGCATTTTTTCCTCAAAATTTAAAATATGTGAAGTGACTAACCTATATGAGCATAAGTAAAAATAACAGATCTCTTTACATACCTTAAATTATCTTATCTAGTTACAAATTCCCACAAACATGTCAAGATGACCCTCCAGTAAGTGTTTGTAATTTTATGATTGGCTTTAACTTTTCTTTAAACAGTGGAAACTACAAGAATAATGCACAAACACAACTAGTTCATACTCACAGAGACCAGGTGAAGAGGAAGCATCCACCTCACACTGATGGCAGGGATCAAATATATAACCCCAGATAACCTGCCTTACAAGGCCAAGGGCACCACCCTGACCTGATAACACAAACTCACACATACACACACACATCATCAGGTGCACAATTCAACAAATACCACAGTACACCCCCATATACGCCTCCCCTCAACTATACACACACACACATTTTTATCTCCATCACTTTTGTCACTTATGACAGAGCTCAGTTTGGCATTGATGATGTCTGGCTGCCCTCTCTGCCTGTTTGTCTCTACCTCTCATGTCCAGATAATGTGATTTTTCGGGCACAGTGCCAGGAACTTTATGCTGCATATCTTGTGTGTGACTCACCCTAGCATACCATCCCTATCTCTAATTCTGCCACACTTTTCCCTGTCATCTCTTGTGCTAAATTCTTTTTCCAAGTGAGGACTGCTCATGAACAGAAACCAGATTCCATTTGATGAATGTGAAGGGGTGCAAAGAGGCAGAGTGAGGCAAGAGGGATTTAAACTCACAGGGTTTTTTTATAAATATATTGTTGTTATTCATATTCAGACGTCATTCTCAGTTGATGGATTGATGCGACATTGTGGTTGGTGCACTTGGGTAAAAAAAACATTTTGACGTGAACGTGATAATCACATGTAATAGTGTGCCTACCGGGTGTTGGTCTAGTGACAAGTTTTCTAAAACCACAGGGATTATATAAATATCCAGATGTAATGTCAGCTCTTAGTTTCACACAGAGAGAAAACAACACACCTGATTTATAGTTAATGTGAATAACTTTATTTTAGTTTTCTTATCGCATTTTCTTGTCTTGCAGCTGTTCAAAGCAAAAATCTGTCATTTCAAACCTGCAGCAGTGGTGAACTGAAAGCATCCAGCTTAGGTGAGTAAGAATTTCGCTTTACATTTCTGAGATTATTGTGAATTTTTTAGATTTTAAATTTTAGAGTTACACAGTTATTGTGTGGTCAGAATTTCATGCCTGAGACTGAACCCCACAGTTACAAGTGGTGAAAGGTGTCAAGTGGAGGAATGAGGACTAAAAAGATTAGGTTTATCTAAAACGTCAGAGTGTGCATGAAAATAAAATCATTAAGTAGATGGAATAGTTTAAGAACCTCTTAAATAGACCTTTAGAGGTCTGATAAAGGCTGGAAAAATTTTGACGTACCTTTAAATTTCTACTTTATCTGTAGATAAACATATCCTCCTTAAACAGTGTGACACATTAATGTAGTTGTTCTGTATTCAAAGCTTTACTGGTTTTATCCCCCAGAAAATTTTGAATAAAGTAGATGCCATTTCCTGCATTCTGGTGTATTTTAATGGTTGTTTAACATCTAGTTTTACCTACACAAGTAAACAATTGGAACATCTCGGGATTCCCCTGGAGGAGCTGGTCCAAGTGGCTGGGGAGAGGGAAGTCTGGGCCTCCCTACTTAGGCTGCTACCCCCGCGGATGGATGGAAGTAAACACTTGATTCAGTAACTATTTTAGAGCTAATGGTACAACAAGAAGTAACCTGACCAACAGCTGATTCATTTAATTAAAAATATTATATTCAAAAGTGACAATTTGATGCCCACATTAAAAATAAATGACTGTAACTTTGTTGACTTCAAATGAAATAAGAAGATCAATGAATGTTTGCAACAAAGGATTTACTGAATATAACAAAGATTCCTTCAAGAAACCTCCCAGTATAAATCATAAAACCATAATGACTTCTGCTCATTCTAAATTTGTCAAATGGTCTAAATCTCCTAAAGTGAAGGAGAATCATTTTAAAATGATAAATAAGATATATCCTGTAGCCATGTTTCTGCAAAGAAGATTTAAATTTGAGGTTGATTTGTGTGTATTTTGTAAATCACAAGATGAATCCCTCAAATATGTTTTTTTCATGTCAATACAAAGTCTTTGGTCAGACATCAGAAACTGGATTAATCTCAAACTTAACATTCCTTCTTTTGATGCTGATTCCATTTTACTTTATGTGGATAACTTAAGCTCAGCTTTCTCTGATGCCATTAATATAATTGTACTTATAGCAAAGTACCACATTCACTGTAGTAAGAGGAAGTCCTCCTTCCAGTTTGATGAACGATTTTAAGTCATACTATTCTTCATTAAGTAGATTAAAAATGTGCAAAACTGCTAAAATCATCTCACAACAGATTCAAACTTGTTGTTTTAATTAAAACAATGTTTCTCAAGAAAAAAACTGATGAGCTTGTCAGCAGGTAAGGGGCATTTACCTTCGGGACAAATTGAGGTTGTTGATTGGTCAGTCAGTTACTGACACGCCTTCTGAGTTGATTGACAGTTCGCACCGTCGAGGATCCGATTGAAAAAAGAAAAAAAACCCGAGAGCTGGAGCCGCGCTGGGAGGAGGTGGGGCTGCACAAATGCAGTGGAAGCGCAGCAGTTTCTGTGCAGCGCAGGGCTCCAAGTAAAGCAGGAGATAACCAGATATTCTGCTTGTGCCCTCACTGCCCTGGGCCCTTTAGAGATTATGGGCCCCTGGGCAGTTGTCCTGTTGCCCATATGGTTAATCCGGCCTTGGGTGGAGGACACCCTGGACAGGTTGCAAGTCAATCACAGGGCCACATAGAGACAAATGAGACAAACAACCATTCACATTCTCGCTCACACCTAGGGACAATTTAGAGTTACCAATCAGCCTAACATGCATGTTTTTGGCCTGTGGGAGGAAACCGGAGTACCTGGAGAAAACCCACGCATGCAAGAGAGAACATGCAAACTCCACTCAGAAAGGCCCCGGCCTGGATTTGATCTGGTGACCTTCTCACTGAGAGGCAAGAACTCTACCAACCAAGTCACCGACAAACACATTTCATTATAAATATTTCTCTACTCTGATAATGAGACCTCAACTCCCACATTGCTTTCTTTCCCAAGTACTGAAACTACTACTGTCACTAAGTTGTGACATAATTTTTTAATATCAACAAAGACTTATTTTCGGATAAAAAACAAAGCAAACCCAATAATCAAATATAGTCAATATCCATAGAGCCAAACCTGTCTCAGCTCCCTGCCTTCTCTTTTTATTATTATTTTTTTTATTAATATTAAGCTTTAGAAAAATAATTATTGCCAACATTTTGTCAGCTTGATAGAGATCTGGTTTAAGGTCTCTAAGGTATGGTTCTGACCCTTGCCAGCCTTATACGTACCATGTCTTTGCCCATCGGTCAGGATTTGTCATTGGAAGAGTTGTGCAGAGAAACCTTCCTTGGACTTTCCTGGGAGGATTGTAAGGTTCACGCACACAGAAGCCGAGCAGCCGATTCATCTAAGATGTTAGTAACACTCCGTTTGTATTTGTTTAACTCACCATCATCACCACTGTCATCTCTCCAGTCACTAGCTTCTTTTCTTCCATTTCAGTTGCCCCTGAACATTTGTGTGACCAGTTTGTGACTCCCACAAGTTCCAGATTCTTAATAAATCTTTTAACAAGTGTTCTGTGCTTGGTTGAGTTATTGGGTCCCCTGCACCACAGAAGCAGGGAATGAGGTGTTCAGCCATGGGGCAAGCTGAGGGTGATGGTTGAAATCTGTGTCCGGGTTCCATGTCCAGAAAGCAAAGTGTAGAGTCCGTCAGGGGTGAGACAGATCATTCAAATGCAGAGAGCAGAAGCACGGTCATAACCATGAGATTAAAAATTGGCAAGGAAGTAATGCTAGACATCTACACACAAAACTGCTGTTGATAATTTGGCGAGTTGGCTGTGATTAGAGGGAGCTTATAAAGAGGAGACCACAGGTGAGAGGCAGCAGAGCAATAAGCAGGCACAGGGGGGTTGAATAAGCTGATTACTGCCTGACGTGAGCAGGCATGGAAAAAACAAACAGATTGAAAAATTACAATACCCCCCTCTTAACATCCGACTCATGACGGACTTCCAGGTTGTTCAGGATGGGTACGGTGAAAATCTCTGATGAGGTCTTTGTCATAGATGACTCTGGTGGGGACACACAAGCATTCCTCCAGTCCTTAACTGTCCCAGTCAACCAGGTAATGGAGACCACAACCCTGGAGTTTGGACCGGAGGAGTTTATTCACCGTATAGGCTGGGCCCCCTTCCAGATGGAGGAGGGGGGCCTGGAGGAGGGCATGAGTCCGGAGGTGAGGTAGGGTTTGACCCAGGACACATAGAAGGTGAGATAGATGCAAAGTGGTCTGGGAAGTTATAAATGAATATCAACCGGATTCACCATCTTAGAAATTGGAAATGGACCTATGAACAGTGGGGCCAATTTTTTTATTCTACACTCAGCGGGATGAATCTAGTGGAGAGCCATAACCTCTGCCTGGCAACATACTATGGAGTGGGGAAGCAGCAGTGATTACCCATTCTGGAATTGACAGCTGTGGTCTGTAAGAGGGCCTTCCCAGCACTCCCCCAAACACAGTGTCAACAGAGAGTCATCATATGGGTAGAAGATACCTTTGTCTCCCCTTCCTGGGTGGTGAACACCGGTGGCTGTAACCTATAAACCATGAATTACGGTGATAGTCCATTGGCACTGGATGGGAGGAAATTGAGAGTGTTCTCCACCCATGGCAAATTTTGTGATCATTTGATAGGGTCATGTTTACACAACATCTGGAGTTTAGTTTCTACTTCTTGGTTGTCCTCTCAGTTTGCCCTTC